GTGCATGTAACAAGCACGGATCATTAGTAGCAGCAGTCAATAAATACTTTTCCTACCTTCCTGCCAGAAACCAATGAAAAGCTGTTACAAAAATTCAAGCCTCCTAGTCAGCTGGAAAAGCTTCCAGCTCTGTTCTATAATGTAAGCAGGCCGGAGGCTGTGTTCCCACACACCCTACACCTAACTGTGTGTACATGCATGCGTGCGCACACACACAAACACACAGGTAAACACACACACACACACGCTGTGTGTGGGCCTCACACTTTTCCAAAAAGTCTGGAGCACGAAAGCACCCAGGCTATGTTTTGACCCAGGTGCAGGAAAGTGCACAGGCTGTTCTGGGCAGTATTTGTCAAGGACAGCAGGCAGCCTTACAGGAGCAAGTTTCAGCTTCCCAGAAACTGTGTCCAGTATTTTGCCACTCCATGTCCCTTTTATACTGGCAGGGTAAGTGGGGTGGAATTGGCTTCTGGAGAAAAGGTCCTGCTAGGGACCTTCCTCTGGCTGGCCCTGAGCTGAGAAAGGGCACTATGCTCTCAGCCCTCAGGTCAGAGGACAGGCCACACTATGCTAAGGGTATTTTTTGCCTCCCAAGGCCTATGGGAGCCTGTAAGAATTAGGACATCATTAACAGCCCTTCTGGGGACTGGTGAGTCCTGAGAGCTGGACCGTAGACACTCTCCACCCTTTCCGCAAGTACTGCGGCACCAGGATCAGACACAAGGCCATGGGGTAGCTCTGAGGTGAGCTCAGTCCCATGCCTTGGCTATATGTTCAACACCCCCTTGGGTGCAGTCCCAGAGCCCCAGGCTCATTGGACAGCCTTAGCTTGGCCAACCCAAAGTCGCTCCTCCCTGTGGCCAGGAAGCTTGGGACCTCCTCTGAGAGGTCATCTCTTCTTGAGGAGTGGGGAGAAGGGACAGAGAGGTGAGATTCACCCATCTCCTGCTACTCACAGTTTCCATGGCTGGGGATGGATAGGGCAGCCTCTACCATGAGCAGTGTTTTCCTGTCCCATACCTTGTACCTGGAGCTAAAATAAGGAGAAGATTTAGTATGCCCTGCCTCTGCAAACAGCTGCCTGCCTGTAACCAAATCTCCATGGCTGGCAATGCTGATGGGAGTTGGCCCTGGATACAGGTGGGAAGGGGCTATGAAGCAGACCAGATCCTGACAGTGAGGGAAGAGGAACTCCAGGCTCCTTCCTGAGTCTCAGACAGGGACTATTATGGCTGTTTTGGGGAAACTGAGCATTCCTCCCACAGGTGTCTGCTTGGGAGCAGACACGCAGCAGTGTAAATTCTGCCTGCCGCGAGCCAGCCTGCGGTGACAGATGGAGGTTAACAAATGAGCTGGCGGGTGAGGAGAGGCAGGGTAGTCCAGGGTTTTAGAGGTGCTGATGTGCTGCTGACATGGTGTCTCGTCCTACTTGCACTGGGCAGCTGCAGGTTGGTGTCGATGAGCAGGCCAGGAGGCAAAGAGAGGACAGGGGACAGTGTAAGCTGCACCGGTGCTGCACACCCTGATTTCACTCTGCCTTTCTCTCTGCTGTGGTAGCACCAGGAAGGTCTCTCACCAGCTGCCTAGAGCTTGTCAAGACTTTTTGTCTCAGAGACACATCTGAGTTTGTCAAATTGCCTGGTTAGTATCCTGTTAGGGAACAGATAGACGGGTGCATAGGCAGGGACTGCTTCAGCTTTGTTGCTGGAGGAAATTAGGCTAAAAGTTGTCAGAGGGTGGATGAAAGAGCTCAAGGGAACCATTAAGTTCTCCCTGGAAAATAAAGACCTAAACTAGACCCTACTGCTGCCTTCTTGGATTTCCAGGTGTGTATTGCCTCTGTCAGCAGTACCATCTCAGTATAGCAATACTTGGGACAACGATGCTGAAGAGCCATCCCTTCTTCCCCTCTACACCAGCCTGTCCCTCAGTTCACTCAAATGGCAGTCAGCGATGTCTCACCAGAGTTGTCTCTTATCGTATCACTACTTGAGTGGAGACCTGGGCATGCCGGGAAGGGGGAAGGGAGAGGAATGCTTTTCTGGCTCCGCAGGAAGAGCTGGAGTCAGGCTGGAGCTTGAGCAGCCTTTGACGCACACCAGCCCTCTGGTCCCTCTGTAGAGTGCTAGGCTCCTCTGGCTCCCATCTCCCCCTGTCAAAGGGGCTCCACAGTAGCCCCTGCTTCACAGCTTGCTCTAGGTTGCGGACAGCTTTCAGGAAGCAGAGGAATAAGGTGTTTGCAGAGGCTCCAGTTGGCAACCATATGAGCAGACTGAGGCTCTGCAAATGCCACCATGAGTCCAAGGGGAGTGGAGACACTGTGCTGTTTTTCTGACTGAATCTTTGCCACCTTGCCCCATCTGTTTCTTGTTTTAGGCTTGCCTAGGTAACTATGCCTCTCTTATTTGCTATTGCCCAGGTAATGAGGTGCACCCTTCTCATTTGTTATTGTAGGGTTGCCTGCACCAGTGTGAGTCCTTCCCCCTCCTTGTTATTGTGAGGCACCCCAGGGAGATCTTCCTGGCTCTGCCTTATCAGGCCCCAGCAGTTGGTGCCAAAGGGAATTCCTGGGACAGAAATTGCAGTGCATTTCATTGCTGCAGAAGGTGGCAACTTACTGGGGATGCTTCCAGTCTCCTTTTGGACCTTGGATTGCTGGCAACACCTTGTGGCAAAGGTTGTACTTCTACTGAGCGTTGCAGTGTCATTTTCTGGGGGACAGGAGCATTCCTGATTTAATCGATCCCATCTGTATCCCTTGTCCATCATCTCCTTATAATAGAGAAGCTCCCAGCCGAGGGCACCTTTTCTCTCTTGCTGCTCCTTTCTGGACCTAGTTTGCCTGCCCATGCAGGTGGGCTGCGCTCCATGAGTCTCACCTGCTTTGTGCTGTGTTCTCCAGTATGAGCCTAGGCTCATTCATTACACGCTGCTAATTTGGAGCAAGTCTCTTCTTTGGTGATATAAGGTACTTCCCTCCTGTTAGCTTGAGTGAATTTGAGTCCTCTAGCAAGAAAAAACAGGCACGTGAGCATCATGAAGCAAAATTGCAAGAGAATCCCATACTGGGGAGACATGCAAGTCCCAGAGATGATGCATGGGGTCATTTACATTGCTCTGGGCAGTTTGGAAGGTGCTGAGTCTAGGATGCTCGTGGAGAGAGTAATGATGGGCTGCTTTCCTAATGCACCCATGGGAAACTTTCCAGTTTTGCATGTGCAATATTTGGGAGCTGGGAGAGGGTAGGTTTGCCTTGGGAAGGAAGGAGGGGAGACTGATAGCCATGGTGGGCTTGGGTCCCCCAAGACCAACCTCTCCCCTCTGCCAACTTCAAGGCCACCACACTGGGTCTCTGTGACAGGCCTGTGCTGCCATCTGCTGCCAAGCAGCATGTCCCCCAGCCAGGCAGGACCCACTGGGCATGCCCAGCAGCTCCTTTAGGCATCCCTGAGCTGCCTGGCTGGGCAGAGCCTTCCTTTTCACCCATCAGACTCCGGCCCCTCTGGGCTGCATCTAGCCTCCAGGGAGAAGCCGTTCAGTAGGGAAACTCCTGATGGCCTTTGCAGGGATTTATCTGCTTTTATTTTCAGCCTGGAGCCTTTTCTCTCCTCACCATGCAGTTTTACTTGCAGTGACGATTGTAAGCAGGGGCAGAACTGCTGCCCTGTTGTCTTTACTGTGGGTTCTCAGGAGGGGATGGGCACAGGCTGGGTTCGCTGGCATCAGGAGACACCATGGACATGCAGGGAGAGATTTCAGTCTGCAGACTCGACTCACAGCTTCCACCTTTTCTCTGGTGCTTTTCCTTCTGCTACGGAGGCATTGTACCTATTCCTGCCTGCCGGGCCTCAGTACCAACCTGGCATTATCGCAGGCCAGCTGGAACCAATGACTGGGAGACCAGGAGCATTGAAAGCTTAAAACTGTATTCAAATTTAGTCCAGAAATAGCCGTCTTTCACTCCAGTGGCTGTATTAAAGGTCACAAGTCAGCTAAGTTTAGACTGTCACCAGCTCTCTCCTATATATAACTGTGCAGAGCTCCTGATTGCATCCTGTCGGTACAGGTCATGCTGGGCTGATCGGAGGGGGTGTATAAAAAGGGCACGGCAGTGGGTACAGTTTAAACACACTTCTCCCTTCCCTTTGGCACTGATGGTGGCAGTCTCAGTCACACAACACCGTTCTGCAGTGTTACCCTGGGCTTTGCCAACTGCTCAGTTTATGCCAGTGGACCAGGGCTGGTTTAGTCCCACAAGCATGGGTCATCCTAGCACAGGGACTGCAAACTGAGGGCCCTGGAGATTGCAACATTTCTCAATTGTGTCTTTAGCATCACTGTCAAAGCATCTGCCTGACCGTGTGGTGGCTTTGCTATGTTGGTGATTGACCTTGAATTTGGAGTCATCTCATCTTTGAGTGTCCCTAACTTTTGCTCCTGCACCTGCAAGTGGGGGTAGGATATGAATTTGCCACTTAGTCCTCCTGCCATTGCTGAAGAGGGGCTTTTCCACTACATTTTGTATGCCCTGTGGTCCTTTTTGGGTGTCGGATAATCCTCCTACTAGTCCTTCTCCATTGATGCATTGCAAATGATAGTGGCTTGTAAGTAGGAGCCCATCCTAGACTCCCGACTCCTCCGTGCTCTCAGGGGCCTTCCTCTTCTATGTTTGGAGTCACATGAAAGCCACACCACATCCCACATAGTGGGATAAAAGCCAGGATCTTAGGAAGCAGCTGGGAAAAGTGCTTTCAAGGAGGGCATCTCTGGGCATGAGGGCTGTGCGTGGTGCACCCACCAGCTGTCACAGTCTCTCCCTGCCAGCTGACGGGGGGGCTATAGTTCAGTTGGACCATTTTCTTCCTGCTGGACCCTTGCTGGGTTGTATCAGGAGTGATATCCTTGGCTTTCTGAAAAGGGAGCTCTAGGACAACGTGCTGAGTTAAATTTCTGAAGATCTTATTTGATCATTCGTTTCCTTCCTGCTTGGTGCAAAGATGTCTTCTCGAATCAGTCAAGAAGGTCTCTGTGCAAAAGCAAGGCCAGTCAGCTCCTGGAGAACTGATTGTTTGGCATTTCTTCCCCCCCCCCCAGAAAGGGAATCCCGAGAGCATGAGGAGCCAACCACGTCAGAGATGACAGAAGAGACCTACCCACCCAAGGCCTACCGGCCCAAGCATGGGCGCCTCTCCGAGCTCAAAGCTGAGGCCCTGAAGAAGGACCGTCGGAAGAAGCTGACTTTGGCCAAGTTTGTGGGCATGGCAGAGAACACAGCACACCCTCGTGTTGTCATCCCTGAGCTCCGGCAAGAGTTTGAGCTGGTGAGTGTCCATCCCTCTACCCCTTTGTGGTGGGCCAAGGGGCTCTCATGGAAAAGCGGGCTACAAGAGGGCTTTTCCCCCTTGAAGAGTGGTGCTGGGGGGGAGCCAGGGGCATTTGCACCTTGGTGCTTTTTGGGGGCTGGCTGGGCACCTCCTTCCTCACTGCACCTCGCTCTCCCCTCTTGGCAGGGCCCTTGCCGCAGGCACATGGAGGCATCGCTGCAGGAGCTCAAAAGCAGCCAGCGGATGGTCCCCCGGGCTGTTCACCTCCCCAACTGTGACAGAAAGGGCTTCTACAAGCGGAAGCAGGTAAGAGCCCTGTGAGTCCCTCCTCAAAAGCAGGACGGAGAAGGGCAGGGGACAGACACTCCCCATGCACGGAGGTTTTTCACTGCCACTGCCCAAGGTGGAAAAGATGGAGGTTTAACTTCACCAGGCTCATGGGGAGGTCGCTGCAAGCCTGACAAGGCATGGCTGGTTGTGGGTGGCCCTGCTAACAGCTCCAAGCTGGGCCCTACTTGAAAACAGCATCCCGAGGGATGGGGTGAGGGAAGAAGGGAAACTCAGCCTCAGGCTTGGGAAGTAGCAGGGTTGGAGATGTGATAAAAGCAGACAGTAAGAGCTAGGTCCTTCCCCAGGGGATTGCACTGCTGGGGTAAAAGAGAAAAAGCACAGGGTTGCTCCTTATCCCCAGCAGGAGAGTTATGCAGAGGTTGTGGCAAGTTCTTGATCTCTCCCCTTGGGTATCTCCCCAGTGCAAGCCGTCCCGAGGCCGGAAGCGTGGCTTGTGTTGGTGCGTGGACAAATATGGCATGAAGCTGCCGGGGACTGATTACCTGAGTGGAGATCTGCAGTGTCATGCATTCGACAGCAGCAATGTGGAGTGAACTTGCACCCCCTCCCTCCACCCCATCACTACCCCAGGCTCCCTTCCACCCTCCCTTTCGCACCTCCCCGTGCCCCAGGACTCCGATTCCTTTCATCTCATGTAAGAAGAGAAAAGATAAAGAAAAGAAAAGAAAAAAGAAAAGAGAAAAGAAAGCACAGAAAAGAGAAAAGAAAAGAGGAAAGAAAAGAGAACAGAAAAGAGAAAAACAAACCCTGAAGAAACTGAGGACTCGGAATCTACAGCAGCGTCTTGACAACAAGGACTTAGCAAGGAAAGGACAGAGCCAGAGACAAACCAACTTCGGCCACACCACCATCCCGCAACTCCCTGTGCCTCTCTCCAATGCCACCTGCACCCCTCTGCTGCAGAGCAGAGGCTACGCCGATGTAGGAAGCTGTCCGAGTTGGTGATTTTCTAGTATGGGTTGTGGGTGGGTTTTTTTGTTGGTGGTTTTTTTTTTTTTTGATTAGCTAGTCGTTTTCTAAATGGTCTCGAGAGGAAACCTGGCGGTGAACAGCATTTCCCCTTCTAACTCCAGTCTGCTGGAGTTTCCTCCCCACATCACTGGGATTCACTCAAGTCGATGTGATTTCCATCTCAAACGATTGCCTGGGAGCCAGGCAGATTTTGACAGCATCACAGACCAGGCAGCAGTGTAACAGGAGGAGGAGTCGAACGGTTTGCTTTGTGTCTAGAGATGAACCGTGGAGGGAAAAAAAGCTCCTGCAACAGCACGAATACCCGACGCAAAATATTCGTGGACTTCAAAAAGAAACAATCCAAAAAGGAAACATATACTTCTCAATCCAGTTCCTCTTGAATGGGAAGTCAGAAATCTTATTTTTGCATAAGTGGGACTTTGAAAGTTATCCATCCAGGTGTGGAAGCATTTGTTGCGTGTGTGTCTGTGTGTGTCTGTGTGTGTCTGTGTGTGTCTGTGTGTGCACGTAAGCGTGTGTGTGCAGAGACGTGTCTTTGCCACCTTGCAAAATTTGCCTCAAAACCTGCAATCTTGAGAGCTTAACTGTAAGCAGGGGGAGAGCTGCCCCAAAAAAGAAATCTACTGGACTAAGCACAGGAGCAGACTGAGGAGGTGAATCAGTGTCTGCAGGATCAGGGCCCTGTGAATGTCGAGGTGTGCATCTGAGCCGATTCCACAGATAGCCATCAACATCCATACTTAAGCATGCACGTGTGGGGACAGGGGGATCGGGGCCAAAAATCTTCACCGCCCTTTGCCGCCACGGGGAAGACCAGCTATGGAGCTTTTTTTAATTTTTTTTCACAGCCAAAAAAATCATTTGCTCCAGGGGAAAAAATATGCTTTATTTTGTCTTAGATTTTTTTTTTAAAGGCTGGTTAATAGTCTTTCCCATGAGTAGGAAAATGTCAGTCTCCATCCTTTTGTATTGAGATTCTGCTTACGTTTGCCACAGCTGATTTCCCTTGGCCCCATCTCTCCACCCTGTAATTATATCCTTGCAATGGGGCCCTCAAGTTTAATCCAGGATCCAGATCGTTGTTTGGTGACAGCAGCAACGTGGAGACCCACTGACTCAGGCCTGCCTAGACAGCCGTTAGTTGCCTTCCTGCTTTTTGTTTTTTTTATTTTATATGTTCAATTTGGGGACTGTTTCCTCTGATTTCTCCATGACAAGGGTCTCTGCTAAGTTTGTATTTGGAGGAGATCCTGCAGCAAAGAAAAGGAAAAAAAAAAAGGAAAGAGAGCAGCGCCCTGGTTCGGAGATGTGTGGGATCTGTGCGTTGCCATCTCGGGACGCAAACATGCACACACTGGGAACTGTTGCTGACCTGACAAGGCTTGAGAGCAACGCCAGAAGAGATGGGCAGGACATCTCCTGAAGACCATGCCACTGAGGGATGCAAAGCACAAGCTGGTTTTCCTCTGGCTGCCTCACGCAGCTGCCGCAGGAGGCCACACTGCGTGCTGCCTGCCAGGAAGGGCAGGCGAGGCAATGGTCAGTGGCTGCAGGGCCAGAGCTGGTGCCCTCCAAGGTGTCGGAGAAGCCACAGGGCGCTGGCACAGAGCATGGCACCATCTGCCTTTGCTCCAGATCAGAGGAAGGTTTTCTGTTCCTTCCAAAGCCCTTTTTAGCGTCCTGGAGCTGGGCAAAAAGGCAGGAGTGCCCCTAGTGGAACTGGGTCTCTGCCAGCAGGGCCAGGACAAGGGGCCTCAGGTGCCAAGGAGCTCTGGCAAAGGCTCCCCTCCATCGCTGCACCAAGCACCCTCAGCAGCCTCCCAGGGGATGGTTTCATCTCCCTTGAGCGGGGTGCACTGAGCAGCCTTCCGCCCCCTGATCGCCAGGCTCCAGTTCAGGTGGGCCATGGACCACCAGCACCTCCCTACAGGACTGTGGCCAAGCAAGATGCTTTGTCCAGGTTGGTTCTGTCCGAGGAAGGGCGGAACCAGAAGTTAAGGAAAACTTCTCATTTCCCGTGCTGTGGGCGACTGCAGCTGGCCGCGTATGTCTGCCTTTGCAGGTCCCCAGTTGCTTTCCCCAGAGTCACAGCTGGCATTGAGTTTAGCTAAGAGACTTCCGTGGAGCCCCCGGCTGCAATGCAGCAGGGGGCGTTTGGAGCTGGGCCGAAGGCTTCCTTCTTTGCCAAAAAGGAGGGAGGTGCCACCAAATGCAGATCTGGCTCCCCCCAAAATGTAGGAGCAGGACAACCCCCCCGACACACTTTGTTAGAGGGGAGCATCGCCAGTGCGTTTGGGTGGGGGGAAGAACCTCGCCGGGTTCTGTAGGGCTAATGGAGTCGGGTCAATTCAACCAGGGTGGGAGGAGTGGGGGGGTTAAAGGTTTAATGAAGGTGGGATGAAGAATGGGGGTGAAGAAGGTGGAGGAGGAGCCCCTAAGAACCCCGAGGGAGCTGTGGGCCACAGAGCTACCATCGCAAACACCTGTCTCCTCCGCTTCGTGATCCCATGCAAAACCTCCTGACTGTGATAGGCCAGTACCACCTTTCTCCAATACTCTTCCCTTCTTTCTTTTTCCCTCTCATTCTCTCTCTGTTGCTGTTTGTTTGTTTGTTTGTTTGTTTGTTTTGTTTGATTTTCCAAAACTTGAAAGCCTTTGGCTGCAGAGAAAGGAGACGTACTGCCCCGGGGGCCCCGGCTCTTG